GTAATATTTTTGAATTTCTGAAGTCGAAATTGTGTTTGTGTTCAAAATAGTGGGTATTTGGTATGGCCATGGATAGCAACCTAGGCCCTATACTTGCAGACATAATCATGACACGTCTATTAAATACAGTCATACCACAACTTCCTTTCACATTACCCTTCCTCACTAAATACGTAGATGATATATTGACAGCAGTTCCCAATCAAATTCAAAGTACTTTAGATACATTTAATAACTTGCACCCACGCCAACAATTTTCAATTTTTTGCATTGTATAAATTCACTTTTCCACATCCTACATGTATTTGTTAAATGTCAACAATGTTTGTAAATCCCAGGCCCTGAAGATGATCTCAATAAAGATGATTGGCACGATAAAGAAAATGTTTTTCTGAAACCTACATCACACCAGACCGCATCTCACGATTTCTGAATAAACTATTTTAAAGTTTACTTTATGCCATTCACCGTCTATAAAAATGAATTATTTAAGATATCAATCTTGATGATATTTTTATAAATACGTCCTTTATGATAAGGCTTTTGACCCTGAACACATCCTTTTTTTAAGGTTTAGATAGTGACGTATTAATGGTAAATTAAATCGACCTTCTGTTCTTCGTTTTTGTTGTTACCTTTTTTAACAGTCTCGAGAGACGATGAAATAATTGATATTGCGTTATTAGATCTAGGATTGTTTGCCGTGGTGTTTTATTTCTCGGTATTATAAGTGATATGTTGTTTTTCCCCCTTCAAAAACGATTAAAAATTACGAAATAACACATTCTTTATATATGGTTTTATAAACAGCTCAAAAATGAATAAGGATATTTGAAATTTCTATTAATTTTAATTAACGTAATCGATATATTTTAGTTAATTGGATAAAACAAACTAGAAAATACAAACCAAAAACAAACAAATGTACAATCCCTATTTTTAAAAACGGACTTTCTTAAGAATAGGAAACATGAAGATTACTCAATTCGAAAACAAACACCTTTTCTCGTCTTTTCTCCATTTTAATTCAGTTGTATTCTCTTTAGCCATGGAAAGACATCATCTTGAACCTGAAGTTCGCATTATTATTGTGAGACTGAGTCATCGAGTTCACCGGCAAGCGGAGAGATGCAGAGGCAGTTGGCATATCTCAGGAGGTGGTGTCCCAGGCTTTAGCTCGATTCCGAGAGACTGGAAGTGCTAACAGGAGGCTTGGTAATGGGTCGCAGAGCATTACGAGCTAAGGGAGGACGGAAATATTGTCATTGCTGCAATACAGAACCTTTTCCATAGTGCCTGCTAGATCCTAAATGAAGTCCAAGATATTTTGGCAAGACCTTTATCTACACAAACGATGCGCAATCGTTGGCCTTAAATCATACGCCCCTTTGAGACGACCTGCCACAATAACCCGCCACCAGCAACTGAACATGGTGAGGTGAGCGCCTAGAATTGGAATGTTGTTTTGTTTACTGATGAGTTGTTTCTGTCTGTATAGGGATAATAGTAGTGGTACGTGGAAAGAAGAAGCTGTCTTCTACCTGTGAGCTTCGCTCGAAACTTGCGTATGACCACCGTTATACACCCGGCCTCACGGGATACGGCTGCGTATAAGCGTTGAGGACGCTATGATTATGCTGAAAAGTCCCTCGAATGCACGAGTAGTGGCGGATGGGAACGGGTAGTGAATCGGTTGCTCCTACTCGAGTATGCTTGCACGTAGGTGTAGGCTGAGCTCGATTGGAGGCTTTTACCGTAGCGGTACTCATCTAGGAGGTGGTTAGCAATTCCACTTTAAACAAAACCGCGGCCGGAGCGGATCCGGTAGTTTCGACGCTAGAGAAGCCCCAATACTCTGGGAGATAGAGTGGCCTTCTCTATCTAGGGAGTGTGCGGGAGACCGGGCTGATGTATTTCGGCTAAGGTAGCCCTTTGCGCGCGGCATTTGGTCTGATGCTAAATGCAGACCCGACCACTCGGAATGGGCAAGCGGGGAGCTAGGTTGTCTTGGGCCTTCGGAGCTGAGCTGCTTCTACACCAATGCTGCGGCAGTAACACCATTCTGTCGTCTGTGTAGGTGCGTCAGCTCTCTTCTTGAGAATCAGAACGTCCGATAAGGCCGAATAGGCTAGGTTCGGACGTTAAAGATCTCATTGTCATTTTTAGGACGACCGAATATACGAAAGCATGTATAGTGATAACAGGGGCCGAACAGTCTCCGAGAACATGGGATGCGTACAATGCCTCAGTTCTTGCACCCTTCAGTGTAGTTTGGTGGAGGAGGTGTAATGGTCTGGGCTGGGATTTACACTGGAGGATGAACTGGACTCCAAGAAATTATCAAGGATACCTCAAACCAGGGATCTAATTGGCAGGAATTGCGATTTCTGAATGACAATGCCAGACCTCACAGAGATAGAGTTGTTCATCAATGTATAGAAAACTTAGGAATTTCTGCCCTTTCATCCATTATCTCCAGACATCAATCCCATTGAGCACAAGTGCGATACGTTGCAGAGGAGGCTTTTCTGTCATCATCTGCAGCCAGTTGACCTGCAACAATTAAATCCAGCGTTGTCACTGTCATTGTCAGCACAAATTTTGCACGAAACTTTAAAAATATAATGGAAAGTGTACTATAAGCGGCGAGATATGGAACTGTTGGCTCAACAAAACTGAAAATATTATGCGGATGATATCATCCTTGCTTCTTCTCCCCACGGTATGTAATTGTTCATAAATGCAATAGCCAAATATTGTTAATATTGTGCGGCCTCAAAATAAATTTAGAGAAATCAAAGATTATTGCTATGAAAAATTACGGTAAACTTGCAAGTAACGAAAAGTTGTATTTTGAAAGAAAGATTAGAGGTAAGGAAAACCTGCGAATACCTATAAATTACACAGGGCGGGCGACCAGGACCCGAGGGGTTAAAAGCCTGAGTAGGCCCGTACCCCATCCCTAAAAGATCCGGGACCTGGTCGGCTCACGAGTCCTGCATAAACCTTTTGGACCTATTCACAAACCCCAGGATTGTGGACCATTTTATCCTGGGGAGTGTTTTGGTTATGTCCTCTCCTTCGAAAGTATTAAATCTTTCCCTAGCATACCTATCGCATTCTGCGAGGTAGTGTCGAGCCGTTTCTTCTTTTGTTTCGCAGAAGCGGCAGAAGGGGTCTGGTAGAGTACCCATTATGAAGAGGTGTCTTCTCAAGGGGCAATGGCCCGTTAGGATACCTATCAGCCTCCTTATTCCCCTCCTAGAGTTAGAGAGTAGCCATTTCGTTTCTTTAGGTTTGATTTCCTTCAGAAACTCCTTCGATTGCCTGCATCCGGGGGACATATTCCATTCCTTAAGGAATTGTTTCATGCCCCAGCTACCTATACTCTCTTTTGCTGTGCTTAAAGAGTGGGGTAATACCGGTTGTGGTCCGACGAACTCAGTATTTGATCCTTCCTTGGCCAGGCTGTCCGCCTCCTCATTGCCATAGTGCCCCTTATGAGCAGGTATCCATATGAGGGTTACCCTATTCTCATACCTGGTGATAGTCCTATTAATGAGTTCAACGGTTTCCTCTACCAGTCTAGATGTTGATAGTTCTGATAGTACCTAGGTGTATCTTGACTTCTAAACATTCATTTGTAAACCATCTTAAAGAAAAAGTGGAAAAAGATAATCATTTGTGCCACACCTTTTTTATTAATCAAAAATATATTTTTCCTATAAAATAACACTGTTTAGAACAACATACCAGACATTAACTATGGGACGAAGGTGTGGGGAGAAATTCAATTCATAAAATTAGAGTATTTTTAAGAATTAAAAAAAAGTTGTTTAATCTTCCTTGTTGGGCAACCTCAGCCTTCTTAAATCTCGAGACACAATAAGGATTTATTCGTTGTTACACTCTGAAGCTTCAACTTGCTTATATGGTAAAAGTGTTAAATATGTCAGATAAATGACTGCCTAAAATGCCTTGGGAACTATAAAAAGATGTATCATGTTATAAGAATATTAAGCGAATAGCTAAATTGGTTAACATGAGTTTTAATACTATCACTCGATCTTTCATGAAAAAATAGAGCTTTTACCTATGTAATACAAAAATATATGTTACAGTAAAATTAAAGAGTTTTTATAGAGAATTGGATTATAAGTTAACATGTAAAGTTTATTTAAATAGTTTAATTTACATAGTTTTGAGTGAAAATCAGTTGATACGAAATTGTGTGGGAGATTAATTTAAACATTAAGCCCTATAATGACACATTGCGGTGGTCTAATGAAAAAGAGGACACCTATCATTTGTTAACTATACGTCGAAAGCTTTCCAGTGTGAGAAAGAAATGGTTCGGCCTCGAAATTGTGTATGGTGAAACAAATTTTGCTTTTTTAAACGGTAAAAGTTGGACAAAGATGACTGAATACTTTACACAGGCTTACACTTTCAGATGGTAACTTGTATAATGATAAAACGAATAATGATCATTTTGTCAGTTATTTGTTATTTATTTAAATTGCATAATTTTTAACGTTACATAACCAATTTTGTTTATTGTTTTTAATTAATTTATGAAAGGTATGGTCGAGATAAGAAAGTCAGCGTCACTGCCGTCAAATAGGAATTTGTTTGAAAATGACTCCTTTATATCCTTTCTACTTTTTATTTTATATTTGTTTGTATATTTTTATATTTTATTTTTATAAAGTCAAAAATACTGTCTTGTTACATTTGGTTAAGTTGTATACTATTTATGTACATACATACAATGTTATCATCATGCATTGCAATTAATTAATAAATATTTAATAATAATACTTTATTACTGATATATTTTAGTGATAGTCCTTATAAAGTTCCAATATTGTTCTTTTTCCTCTTTGCTAATTAATTAATACTTTTTCTGCAAAGAAATGTTTTCCGAAACTTTAATAATACAGTTGAAAGTGTGCTGTAAGCGGTAAGATAATGAATTTTCAATAAAGCTAGGAAACTTTTCAGCATTCGACTTTTTGTTGAAGACGAACAATTACGCTAGAAAGATTAAAGTTTGTTTTAATTACAGGCTTTGCCGTTCTTGAAAAAGGCCGGCTCAATTATTTTCAGACGGCGATGGTTGGAAAGACTCCCCCTGGGTCAATTATTCGCAGGCAGTCCAGGTTGGAGGTAGAATGACGAAATTGGCTTTATCCCAAATCGGAGATATCCATTACTACATTCTCCGAAACCTGAAGCTCGACATATTCTTGAACGATAAGGAGGACACGGTGATAACCAAACTACAAAAGTATGTCTTGACTCTTTTCATTATCGGGATCGTGCAGACATTCGCCATCCTCCAAGTTACCTCCTACGACCCGGCCGACCCGTTCGAAGAAAAGGCCATGCACTGGGGCATTTCCTTGAACATGACCTGCTTCTTGATAAAATTTATCAGGATCATATCCAACATAGGCCTCTTCAAGTCGTTGTTCATCGATTTCGAAAGAATGAATTGCAACCAACACAGAAGCGACTACGCGAGAGAAGTCTTGACAAAAGCAATCGATTTTTGCAAGAAAATCGACAAAAACTGCATGTATTTCATGGTTTTCATTTATTTGGTTTGGTTCTTGGTGCCAGCTTTACTCAGCCCTTTTGTAGTATTGGTTAACCAAGAAGAAATGACATATGATAGTATCACCTCCCACTTACCGACGACTTTCTCTTTCAAAGTCAACAGTCCTTTTCGCGAAATTAGGTATGAATCCTTTTAAATATGATATGTGATATTTATTTAAAGCGAACAGATATGTGTTCGAGTCCGTCAACTGTTTCGTAGCAACAGCGCTATTGCAGTCCGCAAATTTATCATTTTTCGTCATTGTCTACATGCTACAAACTCAGTTCATGGTGCTGTGCGATTCTGTCAAAAGAAGACACGATCTGACGTCAAATGACGATAAAGAACCTCTGGCTCTGAAAAAACTAATCAAAGATCACGTCACACTTCTCCGGTACGATCAGTTTTTATTCAAAAATGGATTCTAACTCAAAAGGTTCGTATGTTTTAGGATCAGCAAGAATTTAAAAGAATTTCTTAGTCCTTTGTTAATGGTGCAATTGCTCGACAGTGTCTTCTTGATCGGATGTATCGGTTCCAGCTTAACGTCAACAGTGAGTATTTTTTCCTCATCTTGGGAGTAAACATATTACTAATAATTTTTATTTCAGCCTACGACAAAAGATGCCAGTCTCATAGATGTGCTAGCGAATTTTGTTCAGTTTGCATCTTTTTTGTGTTTGGCGCTCGCCGAACTATTTATGTACTGTTGGCTCAGTCACATTACAAACGAGTCGGTAACTATTTTCATTTTGTTTGTCTTAAACTACAATCTAAAAGAAAAATCTAGGATTAAAAACGATAATATTGGGCTACCATAACTAAACAATCACAGAAAAGCAATTGTTGAAGTAAGTTGAATTCCATTCATGATGAATATGCCATTAAAGTACGAAAAGACATAAAGTTAGGAAATGTTGACGCATGGAGAAAAAACGATATTGTAGATCAGAGTAATTAAGTTTACATAACTTTAAATTTAACAATCATTGCGTTGATCTTCCAATGAAACATTTATTAACTGTACTGTAATAACCATGGCTGCGTAATTTCAACAAGTTTATGATCAGCACATTGACTAATGATTGAACTTTAAACATAGCCTCTTGTTAGTATAATTTATAAATAAATGGGCCACCGATCTTTGTGTTAAACCAGATATCATATCTGTTTAATATTTATATCAACGATTTGTGCAAGCTCAAGACAAAATCTGAACTGGCTCTCTTTGCTGATGACACAGCTTTTAAAAGAGCGTCTTATAGGGTCGAGGCCAATAGTAAGAAGCTAGTCAATATATTAAAAAATGTGTGGTGATTAGTGACCATTAGTCGATGATTATTCGGAAATCGTGAGATGCGGTCTGGTGTGATGTAGGTTTCAGAAAAACATTTTCTTTATCGTACGGTCGTTTCGATCTTTATTGAGATCATCTTCAGGGCCTGGGATTTACAAACATCTCAGTGTTTGTTTTCTGCGTAAAAAACAACGTAAAAACACTTTGAGTGAGTACAAATACTTTGATTGAATATAAAAAATATTTTTTGCATTGTATAAATTCACTTTTTTCCGCATCCTACATGTATTTGTTAAATTTAACCAATGTTTGTAAATCCCAGGCCCTGAAGATGATCTCAATAAAGATCGAAACGTTGGCATGATAAAGGAAGTGTTTTTCTGAAACCTACATCACACCAGACCGCATCTCACGATTTCAGAATAATCATGTTACAAAACTTGTAAATACTTTATAAAGTGACGAATCAGACCGATTAACGCCAAAACAGATATTCCCACGTCGTAGTCCTTCTATAAGTAATCATACTGTTCTACACAGTTGTGAATAAATATAAAAATTGTAAAGATAAATAATTGTGAGGCTAAAAGAATTTTCAATATCACAGTTCAATGTCACACATTATCTGTTTCAATCGTTTTTATTTATAATTAGAGTATTTTAAATCGTCCTTGTGATAAAAAAGTATTTAAGTGATACGAACATATTTACCAACTGATCTTATCATAAAATCTCGTAATTAAGCCGCAATTGTAAGTTGTTATGCTTGCAATGCTGCGAACAGTATGCATCTAATCTATACGTGTGGAGCCCACCAGTAATTCTAATAGTACTGTACCACTTTATGTTTTACATAGTTTGTTTTGTACATTTCCTCAGACTGTGACGACAATAGTGATCAACGGCTGTATATACATTTCATGCATTAATTTTTTTATTTGTGTTGGTGTCAAGACAAGAATTTTTAATTAATTATAGTTTTCATCTTATTCATCATTCATTCTCTCACCATTATTAATTTCAAGGGCGTTTTAACGGCCATGATCATTTCACGCCCTAACATTTAAACCTTCCATCTTAGGTTAACTATATCCCTTCTGAGTGCTATAAAACTCTGGCTACAAACATTCACTCATAAACTAATCTATCCTATTGCCATTCAAAGCATTTATTTATCCTTTTAAAATTTATCCTTTTTGGAAGGCCAAATGTATGCAAAAAACCCATTTTAAATTATAAAATTTATTCCTGTTCTTTTATTAGAATTTCGAATTTTTGTTCCATAATTTAAACATTGGCCTATGGCCAATAATAATAATAATGGAGTCAGACGAGCAACAGTCTCAGCATGAGTAAAGGATCATCGTTATCTTTTTATTTGGTTTTTTTCATATATTATAAATTCACTAATGTTTTTAAAAAATTTTATTTAGACAACCTCAAAAATTACTGAAAAAAGATAGAAATCTTGCATGCAAAACTCTCATTCAAACACTAGCAGGCAAACATTCAAAGGTAGTAAGTAAAAATTTAGGGAAAGGCCTAATAAATTTAAGAAAGGTGAAAAGTGTTCTTTTCGCAGAAACTCCTTTAAATCACTCGAAAACCTTTGCCTACAGGGTTGCAAAGTGCGGCAGTCGACGAAAATGTGTTTTACTGTCAGAATGATACGTTCTCCATTTCGAATTCATCAAGGACAAGCAAGGAGGTTGTTGCCTAATAAAAGCCTATTATGGATTAGTCTGATGTGACCTATTCGCAATCTAGAGGAAATCACAAGTCCTTTTCTTTCACACCCCTCAGTTGACCATTTACGTAAAAAAGAACAACGAAAAGCTTCAAAACTGAGGCGGGTTTAAAAATTAATANTTGTTTTTTGATGTTTTAATTGTTTGTTTATATGATAATAAAACAGGCCCTGAAGATGACAGTATAAAACTGTCGAAAGCTCGGCGAAAACCGTAAGGAAGTATTCACTGTTTTGACCACTTCCGAAGATCCTCTGAAAAGACTTCTTGTATCCAGCAGGTCGATAATCTAGTTCATCGTTACATGATCATCGTTATCTTTTTATTTGGCTTTTTTCATATACTATAAATTCACTAATGTTTTTTAAAAATTTTATTTAGACAACCTCAAAAATTACTGAAAAAAGATAGAAATCTTGCATGCAAAACTCTCATTCAAACACTATCAGGCAAACATTCAAAGGCAGTAAGTAAAAATTTTGGGAAAGGCCTAATATATTTAAGAAAGGTGAAAAGTGTTCTTTTCGCAGAAACTCCTTTAAATCACTCGAAAACCTTTGCCTAAAGGGTTGCAAAGTGCGACACTGAACGAAAATATGTTTTACAGTCAGAATGATACGTTCTCCACTTCGAATACATCGATGACAAGTTAGGAAGTTGTTGCCTGTTAAAAGCCTATTATGGATTAGTTTGATGTGACCTATTCGCAATCTAGATGAAATCACAAGTCCTTTTCTTTCACACCCCTCAGTTGACCATTTACGTAAAAAAGAACAACGAAAAGCTTCAAAACTGAGGCGGGTTTAAAAATTAATACAATATTTTGTTTGACTAAACACACAACTGGAACTTTAAATGTTTTTCTACATGTCATTATTACATAAAACAAGAGAAAGCCAAGCATTATGAGTTTTGTAGTGAAATTAAAAGAAACGTAAATCTACAGAAAAGAGGTATTTATAAAGAGCCTGTATTTTACAAATGTAGATTTTTTACATTTTACAATAAATAGAGGTAGTGTAACCAAATATTTTATCTATCACATTTCATATTTATTTGCAATTTTGTTTATCTCTCTAATCCATTCGCACGTACAATAATTTATAAGCATGCAGCTTTATTCCTATTCTTCTCAAAGAATTAGTACCTAATAATTAATTATTATTAAAGAAGAGCGTATGTCTTTCATTCAATCTTATTTACAATAATCATATAAACAAAATATCAGCTCAAGCAGGTTTTTTTCTAATTTTCATATAGAAATTCCCATATTTTGAGAAAAATAAAGACTAATTACGATCATGTTTCTCCTTTTTATACAATTTTTATAAATTAAATTGAAGTGAGGATGAAATGTATATGTTTATATATTTTAATTTGCCTTTTTAATTATTACTTGGATCACACTTATTTTTTATTTCAGTTTCAGTGGAGAATAAGTACAATTTTGTTAATGGTTTTCAGTTGAAATATGCAAAGTAAATAAATGGCTGGTTTAAAAGAACACCAAAAATGCAAACATATACAAAATTTTGCTTTATCTGTTTTTTTAACTAATAACATTACACAGTTAATTTTGTCTTTTTTGGAAAGGAATAAGGGTATGGTTAGAGGGCAAATAAATACTACTTTGGTATTTTGATTTTTTTAGGGATTTTTAAATCTAAATTGGATGTATACTTCAAATCTCAAGTTTGGGAAAATTGCCCCAACAGGTAAGTTTTTTTTTTTGAATTGTGCCATTTAACTTCTGTATGGATTAAAAATTTTGTCTGTCAATAAATAGAGGATACAATTACAGGCATTTAAAAAGGTTTAACGACTTTTGAATGAAAATTGTTCTTTTCTCAGAAACTCTTAAATCACTCGAAAACCTTTGCCTGAAGGGTTGCAAAGTGCGGCACCCGACCAAAATAAGTTTTATAGTTCCAATGATACGTTCTCCACTAAGAATACATTGAGGACAAGTTATGAGGTTGTTGCCTATTGAAAGCATATTATGGATTAGTCTGGTGTGACCTATTCGCAATCTAGAGGAAATACAAGTCCTTTTCTCTCAAATTCCTCAGTTGACCATTTATGTACATCTGGCATAATTTACACAGATATTCCATCTTGCCACTCACTTTCGTATTGATAATGGTAACATGAACAACTATATCCTCTGGGCGGAGAGGAAATTGATATGTCCTTTGTGGATGGTTTGCAACGTTCTTTGCCTGGTGATCAGTTTCTTCATTTCCAGAAATGCCGACATGACTAAAAACCCGAACCACATGTTTCTTAACTACTTGAATTTCATAAAGGTATTTGCGAATCTCTAAATGTATGGGCCGACCGAGAATTTGTTTTTGATGGCTTCGAGACACTCTTCGAATCAAAGCATGACATTACAAATTCCTTGGAATTACTTTATATTAATATATCAGACTTAATTAACAAACCTTTTTAAAAAAAATATTTTGTTAGAACCAGAAACTGGCATCTGCGATCTTTGAAAACAGCGATTGGTATGTAAATCTGGGTGGGAAACGCGATCTTGTCCTGACGATTTTGCTGTCTCAAAGGGACACGAGTTTCAGAGCACTTGACATGGTGGGAATAAACCTTTTCCGATTTCTAGACGTGAGACTTTCTAAATATCGTAGATATTTCAAAGGATTGACTAATTTATCTTTTTTTCCAGGTCGTACGGTTGTCCTATTCGTATTTTACGATGGTGAAACAATTCGCAAAGGGAGAGGAGTGAAAATCGAAGTACGCATAGTACAAAATGCTTTCTGGAGAAAATACAAGATTATTACAATTTCCTATTGAGATATTGGCTAGATAACAAAAAATTATATGTTTTCGAAAATCGCACAAGCGCAATTTAAGAAGAAATTAAAACATTAGCATTCTTCCAGAAAGAGCATTTTCACGGAGAAAAGTTGAAATTCTGAGAAGTTATGTGCTTATGAAGTATTGTGAAAATTATTCTAAGTTAAACAGTAGAGCATTACCATCAGCGTGTATTTATTTTAATGTTAGGCCAAACCCAAATCAAGAGAAATCCCTAAATATCAGAGATACAGTTTTGTAGAAAAAGGTTATTTTTACAATCACCGGTAAAAACAGTATAGTGAAAAATATTGACTTACAAAGTTTTTTGGATATTCACACAAATACTATGTAAATTATTTCAGAAGATCCTATTTGGCTGTACAATTTTAGAAAAACTAATGGTGTTTTCCCCTTAATCGTACAAAACCCAAACGGATTGCAAAAAACTTTTACCAAATGTAGATAAATAGTTTTAAATGAATTAAAAGTCAAATTCATTGAATATATCATTAAAAACACATATTAAATATTTTCAGAAGATATAACGACAAAGGGTTTTTCTAAATGAAGAAAAAAGTCTATCGTAGATATTTCTGTGAACAGCATTTAAATCAAACTTACGACTGTGTATTTTACAGTAAAGTGTGAACATGTGGCAAAGATGACTGGATACTTTACAGATCCTTACACTTTAAGCTGGTAACTTGTATACAACGAATAATGATCATTTTGTCAGTTATTTGTTATTTATTTAAATTGCATAATTTTTTACGTTACATGACCAATTTTTATTGTTTTTAATTGTATATTTTTGCCTGTCAAATGATGTTTAAATTTTCTGAAGTGCAAAGAACATAGCTGTCATTTATTTTATTTAATCCCTTTTCTTTATTTATCTCTATTACTATTTATGTAAGTAATGTTTTAATTTGTTTGAAAATGACTCCTTTATATCTTTTTTATTTTTATTTGATATATTTATATATGTTTATGTTTTATTTTTATAAAGTCAAAAATACTATCTTACGTTACATTTGTTTAAGTTGTACACTATTTATGTAGTTGTAATATACATATCATTTTTATCATCATGCATTGTAATTAATTAATAAAGATTTAATAATATTTTATTACGGATATATTTTAATGACTATCCTTACAAAGTTCCAATGTAGTTCTTTTTCCTCTTTGCTAATTAATTAATACTTTTTCTNCTAAGGGTGTTTTCCCCTTAATCGTACAAAACCCAAACGGATTGCAAGAACATTTTACCATAGTATAGATAAATAGTTTTAAATGAATTAAAAGTCATATTCATTGAATATATCATTAAAAACACATATTAAAGTCAAAGGATTTTTAATAGAGAAAATATTCTGATAGGAGTTTTTTGGTATTCGCAAAGCAATAAAGGATTATTTAAATTTTCAACTGAGAATGTTGACCAAAAAAAAATTGTTGTTTATAATTACTCAAGAAGGATTTAACTACCAGGTTGAAATAGCAGCCCATTCTTGCAGAAAGCAACATTTGCACGGAAAAAAGTTGAACTTTTGACAAATTAGGTGCTTTCATGAAATATTCTGAAAATTATTTTAAACTAAATAGTAGAGACATGCCAAGAATGTGTATTATTTTTTTGACATTTATTAACTGTATTGTAGTAACCATGTCTACGTAATTTCAACAAGTTTATGATCAGCATGATTGAACTTTAGCAACTAATGATTGAACTTTAAACATAGCTTATTGTTAGAATAATTTATAAGTAAATGGGCCATCTTTGTATTAAATCAGACATCGTATCTGTTTGATATTTATATCGACGATTTGTGCAAGCTCAAGACAAAATCTGAGCTGGCTCTATTTGCAGATGACACAGCTTTTAAAATAGCGTCTTATAGGGTCGAGGCCATTAGAAAGAAGCTAGTCAATATATTAAAAAATGTGGGGTGATTAGTGACCATTAGTCGATGATCATTCGGAAATCGTGAGATGCGGTCTGGTGTGATGTAGGTTTCAGAAAAACATTTTCTTTATCGTGCCAACGTTTCGATCTTTATTGAGATCTTCTTCAGGGCCTGGGATTTTCAAACATTGTTTACATTTAATAAATACATGTAGAATGTGGAAAAAAGTGAATTTATTCAATGCAAAAAATAATTGTTTATATTCAATCTAAGTATTTTTAGTCACTCAAAATGTTTTTACGTTGTTTTTTACGCAAAGTTTTGGGTGAGTAGAAATACTTAAATTAAAATTAAGAACGCATCTCACGATTTTAGAATAATCATGTTAAAAAATGTTGTAAATACTTTATAAAGTGAGAAATCAGACCGATTAACGGCAAAACAGATATTCAGACGACATAGGCCAAGAATAAGTAATCATACCGTTCTACATAGTTGTAAATAAATATAAAAAATTTTAAAGATAAATAATTGTGAGGCTAAAAAAAATTTCAATATCACAGTTCAATGTCACACATTATCTGTTTCAATCGTTTATACTTATAATTAGAGTATTTTAATCCTCCTTGGGGTAAAAAGGTATTTAAGTGATATGAAAATATGGACCAGCTGAACTTGTCATAAAGTCTCGTAATTAAGCCACAAGTGTAAGTTGTTATGCTTGGTTGCTCATTTCACGCCCTAACATTTAAACCTTCCATCTTAGGTTAGCTATATCCCTTCTGAGTGCTATAAAGCTCTGGCTCCAAACATTCACTCATAAACTAATCTATCCTATTGCCATTCAAAGCTATAATTTATCCTTTTCAAATACTTAATTTGAAAGGCAAAATGTATGCAAAATACCCATTTTAAATTATAAAATTTATTCCTGTTCTTTAATTAGAATTTTTGTTCCACAATTTAAATATTTCCCATAGGCTTTTATGGCCAATAATAATAATAATGGAGTCAGACGAGAAACAATCTCAGCATGAGTACAGGATCATCGTTATCATTTTATTCTTCCATTCATATACTATAAATACACTAATTTAAAAAAAATATTTAGACAACCTCAAAAATTACTGAAAAAGATAGAAATCTTGCATGCAAAACTCTCCTTCAAACACCAGCAGACAAACATTCAAAGGTAGTAAGTAAAAATTTAGGGAAAGGCCTAATATATTTAAGAAAGGTGAAACGTCCTCTTCGAAACTAACATTGAAGACCTAATACTCCCTTAATCACTCGAAAGCCTTTGCCTAAAGGGTTGCAAAGTACGGTAGTCGAAAATATGTTTTACTGTCGGCGTGATACGTTCTCCAATTCGAATACATCGAGGACAAGCAAGGAGGTTGTTACCTATTAGAAGCCTATTATGGATTAGTCTGATGTGACCTATTCGCAATCTAGAGAAAATCACAAGTCCTTTCCTCTCACATTCCTCAGTTGACCATTTATGTACAACTGGCATAATTTCTTTCAGACTAACTCTACAGATATTCCATCTTGCCACTCACTTTCGTTTTGATAATGGCTATAAGATGAACATATCATCTGGGCGGAAAGGAAATTGATCTCTCCTTTGTAGATGGTTTGCAGCGTTCTTTGCCTGTTGATCAGTTTCTTCATTTCCAGAAATGCCGACATGACTAAAAACCCGAACCACATGTTTCTTAAGTACTTGAATTTCATAAAGGTATTTGCGAATCTCTAAATGTATGGTCCGACCGAGAATTTGTTTTTGATGGCTTCGAGACACTCTTCGAATCAAAGCATGACATTACAATATCCTTGGAATTACTTTATATTAATATATCAGACATAATTAACAAACCTTTTAAAAATATTATTTTGTTAGAACCAGAAACTGGCATCTGCGATCTTTGAAACCAGCGATTGGTATCTAAATCTGGGTGGGAAACGCGATCTTGTCCTGACGATTTTGCTGTCTCAACGGGACACGAGTTTCAGAGCATTTGACATGGTGGGAATAAACCTTTTCCGATTTCTAGACGTGAGATTTTCTAAATATCGTAGATATTTCAAAGGATTGACTAATTTATCTTTTTTCCAGGTCGTAAGGTTGTCCTATTCGTATTTTACGATGTTGAAGCAATTCGCGAAGGGAGAGGAGTGAAAATCCATGTACGCGTAGTACAAAATGTTTTCTGGAGAAAATACAAGATTATTACAATTTCCTACTGACATATTGGCTAGATAACAAAAAATTATATGTTTTCGACAATCGCACAAGCGCAATTTAAACAGTAAATTAAAAAAAGTAGCCTATTCTTCCTGAAAGAGCATTTTCACGAGAAAAGTTGAAATTCTGAGAAGTTATGTGCTTATGAAGTATTGTGAAAATTATTTTAAGTTAAACAGTAGAGCATTACCATCAACGTGTATTTATTTTAATGGTAGGCCAAACCCAAATCAAACGAAATTCCTACTTAACAGAGATGCAGTTTTGTGGAAAAAGGTTACTTTTACAATCACAGGTAAAATCAGTACATTGAAAAATATTGATTTACAAATTTTTTTTGATATTCACACAAATACGATGTAAATTATTTCAGAAGATCCTAAGTGACTGTACAATTTTAGAAGAACTAAGGGTGTTTTCCCCTTAATCGTACAAAACCCAAACGGATTGCAAGAACATTTTACCATAGTATAGATAAATAGTTTTAAATGAATTAAAAGTCATATTCATTGAATATATCATTAAAAACACATATTAAAGTCAAAGGATTTTTAATAGAGAAAATATTCTGATAGGAGTTTTTTGGTATTCGCAAAGCAATAAAGGATTATTTAAATTTTCAACTGAGAATGTTGACCAAAAAAAAATTGTTGTTTATAATTACTCAAGAAGGATTTAACTACCAGGTTGAAATAGCAGCCCATTCTTGCAGAAAGCAACATTTACACGAAAAAAAGTTGAACTTTTGACAAATTAGGTGCTTTCATGAAATATTCTGAAGATTATTTTAAACTAAATAGTAGAGACATGCCAAGAATGTGTATTATTTTTTTATGTTAGCTTAAACCCAAACCAAGAGAAATTCCTATTTAACAAAAAAGCAGTTTTGCGAGAAAAAAAGTGTTATTTTTACAATCACAGGTAATAACAATACAGTGAAATATATTGACTTTTAATTTTTTTTGGATATTTACACAAATACGATTAATTATTTCAGAAGGTTTTATTTGTTTTGTAAAATTTTAGAATATTTCCCAACAAATGTACAAAACCCAAAATGCAAACAAATTTTTACCATTACACAGAGAAATAGTTTTAGATTGAAAGCTCCTTTATTAACATATCATTGGAAACCATATTAAATATTCTCCGAAGAAATAACACTAAAGATTAATTTAAAATGAAGGAAAAAAATTTGTCTATTGTGAATGTTTCTATAAACAACATTTAAATCTATCTGACGAACGAGTAAAACACGATAGACTTAATAATAAGTTTCAATTAATTGATATTTAATTAAGGTTTTGTTTGAGATAAAAAAGACAGTGTCACGAGCGGGATTCGAACCCAGGACCTTCGGCTAAATACGCCGCTTCTCTACCACTTGAGCTATCGTGACTTCGATCCAATCGGACATCAACTTCCCATTCAACCCAACCTTTTGAATTTTCCCTCCTTTTTGCCATTTTCAGATGTCGCGACAAATAAAATGGCCGCGGAGAGCTTTAGTGTAGTCATTTTGCTTATTAAATCTATTGGTTTGGTGGTCCGATTGACCAAATAAATAAAGGAGGGAAAATTGAAAAAAAGTATATGGCGTGGATCGAAGTTCGATCGAAGTTAGATCGATAGCTCAATTGGCAGAGTAGCGGCGTATCTAGCCGAAGGTCGTGGGTTCGAATCCCGCTTGTGACACTGATTTTTTTTATCACAACCAGAACCTCAATTAATTGAAAAGAATTTATTTGGTCACGAAACCATAATAATCAGTATATAATAATCAGAAAACATTTTCTCAGAAACAAAATGGTTTTTGATTTTAGTATTTGCACAAACCAGAATGTTACGCTTTGAACAGAGAAAAAATTGTAATAAATAAAGGCAAAAAGGATGTAAATTTCGAAAGGTGGAGTTGAGATGGGAAGTTAGTGTCCGAGAGGATCGGGGTCATGATAGCACAAGTGGTAGAGCAGCGGCATATCTAGCCGAAGGTCGTGGGTTCGAATCCCGCTTGTGACACTGACTTTTTTTATCTCAACGAGAACCTCAATTAATTGAAAAGAATTTATTTGGTCACGAAACCATAATATTCAGGATATAATAATCAGAAAACATTTTCTCAGAAACAAAATGGTTTTTGATTTTAGTATTTGCACAAACCAGAATGTTAAGCTTTGGACAGAGAAAAAATTGTAATAAATAAAGGCAAAAAGGATGGAAATTCCGAAAGGTGGTCTGAAGGTCGTGGGTTCGAATCCCGCTCGTCACACTAAATTTTTATTTCAACCAATACCTCAAATAAAGCTTAATTAATTGATAGAGGTTATTTGGTCAATCGGACCACGAAATCTAATGGATGTAATAAATAAAGTTCAAGAATTATCGACAGGGAAAATTTTCTGAAATATATACTTTGTTTTTATATCCAAGAGAATATATTGTCGTATTATTTCTCGATCGAGTTAGACATATTCGTTGCACTACCTTTGATTTTAAGCATAAACACATGCAAACAGAAAAAACTGATTCACGTATACATAACGTTATATATTTCGATATGTCATACACCAGACGCCACACTAAAGGCTTAGTCATGAAGGGAGAAATTAAAACCATTCCGGAAAAAAAGTGGTTCGTTTTACAGTAAATTATGGTTAAATTAAAATTGAGCGATATATTTTGAATATGTGCGTAAAAAAGAAAAATGTATTCTGAAAAAATACGTAATTCTATAATTCAATTTTTTTCCGTCAATGATATAAAAAATGCCAGAAAATCTAGGCATTCTTCCAAATTCACGTAATAATGAAATGTAGTTTAAAAAAAATTGTATGTACAGTTATTAAACAATAATTGAAATTTTTTCTAATTATTGTGTCGTAACTTTTTGACAAATGCTGTTTTAAAAATGTGGACGAGCTGGAGTGAGAACAACGGCCACGTTACATCAGGATTATCTAAAATACACATTACTTATCAGTTGATAGATATGGGCTATTTCGTCAACTCTGCGAAAAATTTTATATTTATTTTTCACTGTACGATTTTGTTCAATTTGATGTTTTGTTTGAAATTTTCTCCTTGCGCTATCATAAAACTGTGGCGAAGCATAACTTCAATAATCAATAGGATGCAAAACTCTTCGCTGTTAGGACGTTTGACTCCAATTTGTAAAAACCTATAACCCCAAACGGCTCGGCAAGGTAAATAAAAAGGCCTCGAGGGGTTTATCAAATAAACGGCTTCGGAAAGGCGAGACATTCTCGCAAACGGGAAATTAAGGTTTATGAATTCTTGAGTTGAATTCCCAGTTGGGATATGAGGCTATAAGAGGCATGTGGGATATGAGAGCGAAGGAATTCCACTAAGGTTGCCAGCCGAGCATCCAGTGTTACCACAGTCCCGAGGGACAACTTGGGTGATAATCATCTGAAATATCGGTATGAAAACCCAACAGGAAACTCTGACGATAGGAAAACTTGAAAAATCTTCTTTACGAAATCCAGTTGTTAAATAAATAACATCAGTGCCATATTTTTCATAAGTAATTTTTATTTTTCAATTCTATTCGCTGTCAATAACTTTCATAGAGGGGCCATTTTTCGACTTTGATCCTTTATGCCTTTCAAACGTCGAATTTCAGACGAATGCTCTTTATACGGAGTCAAAGCTCCTAGCAATGGAATTAAAAAAAAATAATCCAATGACGAATCGGAGTTACGACAGGATATTGCTTTTAGAACGAACCAATTTCCTTACCAAATACCGGATTCGTGACGACAATTTCACATGGATGATTCCCGTCAAGTTGGTTGTTCCTTCCAATGCTGCATGGGCAGATAAACAAATTATTAATAGACGATTACCCGACATGTTATGTAAAAATGCTATAACCCATTTCTTTCCCTCTATGACGAATTTTTATGATAACGCACATGTGACACTACACACTTGGCAACGGCATTATTTCAAAATCGTAGACTTAAATTACTCAAATATACTTGCGTAGGTACGTTTGTTATTAATACCCCAGGATTATATTAGGAATAACATTTGAAAGGAAAGAAGAAAAACAAGGTTTTTCTCTCTCGATTATTTACCTCTAAGATAAGAACTATTTCAGGCGCAAAACAGATTGCATATTTAGATTTCTTAACACGGTTCATATATTTTACAATTTAAAGTAAATTTACATAATTTTCAGCGAATTTATCACTCCAATTTAAAGCTTTTTTAACTTTTTAGGAACAGTTTTCTTTTTCTTTTCGTTTAATTGCTAGAAAAAATATAAATGATCTAAAAGTCTTTTATAACTGTAATAAAAGAAAATGTATTAAATTTTAGATTTTATTTGAATAAATATATTATGGATTTTTTTTTCTTACAAGCGCACTACTTCAAGATACAAAGTAGTTTCCTCATGACAGGACGAGGATTGAAACCAATATTTCCTGGGTAAATGTCTTCGGATGGCATTTAAACCAGCCTACACTCGAATAGAGGGAATTTTTGCCTTTAGACTTTCCCACGCATTTTGTATTTTACTTCAAATATGATTTTTCACGTGCAAAATTTCACAAACAAGGCGAGTCTGTTGCAACTTTGAGTACACGCCAGAAAACATTTGGTTTTCGGAACTACAGTGGTGTGAATTTATTTTTAATCTGATCTGCAAGAATTATGCTAAGCTTCTTTTCTGATTAATATTGAAGATGCGTTGATTAGTTACATTTATGTACGATAAAGAATAACAGACTCTAGTGTGTTTTTTAAATTTTTTAATCTTGCACTTATCAGAAAATAAATTAGAATTTTCATTACTTCTGATTAAAACATAAATACTAAGAGAACGCATTTCTTTGTGATTTATTCCAAAGAGATGATATCTTTTCTCAGAATATTGGCCCAAATAGACTTTTTTATGTAGTCTTGTACTAGCCTTCTTGGTGCTGTCGAGCACACAAGTGACTCAAAGGACAAATTCAGCATATGTATGAAATATTTTCTTAACACAATATCTGTAGTTGTAAATATCAAATAAATCTAATAAAAAATATACAGAAATCGTGAGATGCGGTCTAGTGTGATGAAGGTTTCAGAAAAACATTTTCTTTATCGTGCCAACGTTTCGATCTTTATTGAGATCATCTTCAGGGCCTGGGATTTACAAA